GGAGCTGACGGTCGCTTTGACATTCAGCGTGTCAGTGGACGTACATCCCTTACCACTTCTACTCCGGCTATCTCTGTACTGGAAGCTGTGAGAGCGAAGGGCCGTGGTTTGATGAGCAAAACCAGAGAAGTTGGTGGTGCACGAGAAGGAAGCTCATCTCCTTTTGCATCGTTCACGGGCTTCACACCATTTGCCACGAAACAGCGCAAATCTGGAGGTGAGTTCATCACTTACGGAGAAGCGCGTTCGACATATTTGATTTCGGTTTAGTTTCTACTCCTTTGTCACGTTTTGCCAAGGTACCGTCTACATCATCGGCTAGTGCAGCTTCGAGTTCGTCAAATATCGGTAAATCGCTTTTATTTCTTTCGCTGATCTGTGCTCATTCGTATCTTTTGTACAGGAAAGAAATCTATGTCGACCACTAACCTCGTAGAAGATCGCGCTAAAGCTGGACCTAGTGTAGCTTCAACAGGTCAAGCAGCATCGGCGGAGTCTTTGCAACACCAAACTCAGTCACTCGAAAATCTTCTTGCTCGGTATGTCATTTCTCCTATTCTTCTGGTCCATGGCAGATTTGATTTTTTGTAGAGCCAATCCTCATAAGTTTGGAAGAATAGCAGAGACCATGGAAAGCGGTGCTGAGACACCAGAGCCGGGTCACGAAACCCCAGTAGCCGCTGAAACTGAAGAAAGCGATTCTGCGACTAGGTATGCTTGGTTATTCCGACCTGTAACTCTACTCACGAACGCAAATTGTTACAGCGCTGCTGGCTCTCATGCTGCATTGTCTGTATGCTCATCGCAGTCGTCCGTAGTGGATGCGACTCCTCGCGATGGTGCTACCCCATCTGCACCTCAGGTTGACTCCTCGAAATTGAGCAGGTAAGGCAGTGAGATTAGACCTAATCATTTATGTCCGTCTACATACCATCTCATCTCATAGTTGGATAGCATCTTCTTTGTTCCGAGCTTGCCTTTTTTGCAGTCTTTCTGTGTCCGCGCCAGACTTGGCTGCTGCTCGTCAACGGCAGCAATCCAGTGATACCTTTGAGATGGACAAAACCGTTGAAGAAGACGAGGAACAGGAAGGTGAAGATGAAGAGGAAGAAGAAAGGTAATTTTGATATGTCTCATCATTATATCAAATGAAGATCCATCAAAATGGGTCTATGCTTTGCAGTAATGAGAAGGTGAACTTTGCTGACATGATGGTGGATGCGTTAAACAACACCTCGGAGAGGAGCCTCTTTGAGAAACTTCGCGAAGTTTTCGGCACAGGTCTGTTTTACTGTTAATATTGTACCTACCGATTTCACCCCATCCTATTATTCTAGAAGACTCTCTCGAACATCTCATAACGTCTTCATCCTCAAGTACTGAAATGGGTGAGGTCACCGCTCCATCAACTTCTACATCAGCTTCGCAAAAGAGCATCAAGAAAGACAAAACCTCTCTCAAGCAAAAACTTGGCAACTACGCCGATGTGTTGAAGGGGATCATGCAAACGGTTTGGATTTATTTTCGTTGTTTTCACTTCTCTTGTCATGTAATATAGTTGAAAACTATAAAACGCAGATTTTACTTGTAGATGATGGATCCTAGTGGAAATTCGTTGGAGGTTGAGGAATTGCTAGATGAGGTAAATAGTTTCGTTCCAAAAAA